CCAAGGGGTTTCTCCAACTCCTGGCATTGCCCAGGACCATCACCAGGTACAACAGGGACCTGTGACCTGCAGAAACACCAGCTGTGCTTCAAGGCTCCAGCTCTGAGGCACAGAAACTAATTCCAGGGACTGTAAAGGCCACTTGCCTGTTCAGAGGATGCCCAGAACCCTTGGTTATCCATTTCCAGGGTCTGGGTCCCTGCTTCAGGGTCTCTTCTGTCCCAGAGGACCGCCACGTCCCGCCAGCTGAGCCTCTTGGTACTCAGACACTAGGGAGGAGAGCACAGAGGCTGCAGCCGCGCCTGGCCCCACGCCGGTCCCTCTGCTCTGTGCTCCCCTCGCACAGGGGCTGGGGCTGCTTCGCCCCAGCTTGTGTCTGTCTGCCCCAGCAGACAGACAGAGCCCTTACCACCAGCAAGACAACGGGAGCAGTAATGATGCAGAGGCCGCACGCGACCATGATGGCCACGCCGTACTGGGGAAAGCCTGGTTCGGGCAGGGGAGGCTCCAGGGTGTCCTCTGGAAGGGAGCACAGCAGTTAGCGCAGCCTGTGGGACACAGGGGCTCTACCCCACGAGGTTGCAGCCACCCACTCTCCTTCGGGACACAGGAGGCAGTATAGAAGATGCCAATAACATCTATTTGACACCCTCCATGCCCTTTCCAGGTAACCCTTCCCTCCTGTCCTGTGCCAGCCTGCAGCAGATGGGTCTCTGTCTCCAATCCCCGCAGGCTGCGCAGAGGGATAGGGCACGGTTGTTATTAGAATTGTACTTTCAGATCAACCATTGCAAGCCGGTCACCTCACCGGCCAAAGACATCTCACTCTCCCTTCGCATAAGAGATCTGGATCTCATTGGCTGTGGATCTACTCTGCTCACACTGCAGGCATGGAGCCACAAGTTGTTGAAGCTTGTATACCCATACCCCAAAGGGCAGCTTACCTCCCACAGCAAGAGAGTACGGGTCCACCTGGAAGTCTGAACCGGCCAAAGCCTTGTTTGGCCCAACCGAGAGCACAAGTGCCTCCAAAACTTCCAGGCTGGTCGGAGCAGGGTGTTGGAAGACCACGTCCCCATGGCAGATCAAGGAACCAGGCCTGTGGACAGGGTTGGGAAGAGGTCCAGCAGCTGCCAGTCCCACCATGACCCCGCAAAGCCACATGCTGAGCTGTGGCCATGGGCACAGCCAGACTCCCAGCTGGTTTTGTTCGGAGGGGCTCCACAGGGATCTCTCTGCCCTCAGGGAGGTATTGGGTTTGCATCTGCTCTCTGGGATGGAAGGGACATCCCTGGGGGTCTGGCAAGTCACTCCTGAGACAGTGGGTGAATGCTTGACCTCAGCTGCCTGCTGCAAACCCTTCTGTAGCTGAGATGATACACCTGACAGCCATGACCTGTTGGTTGATGTCTGTAGGGAGACCTCCCTGGCTCTGTACCCCCCTGCCCCTCCCTCCTGCCCCAGCAGACCCTCTGCTCCCACTCACAGGAATCCTCTTATCACCACTTGCAGGAAGCTCCCGTGGTCCCTCAGGGCTCTCGCCACCTGGAAGAGAGGCTTTGCTCAGCTCCCCGCCAACCTTCGGGGTGTTTCACCCAGCCAGACCACCACTTCCACGGCCATGATGGAGGTGGGACAGCCACTACAGCAGGGACAAGGGACACAGGCCAGCTGCAGTCCTGCAGCACCTCCAGGTCCCTGGCTGCGTTGTGGTGGCCTGAGCCACTGAAGCACCATCAGCAGAGAGCAAACATCCTGCTACTAAAGCCTCGGTGCCTGCCTTCAGCAGGTATCAGCCACAGCACTGGAGTTGAGGGTCTGGTTTGGACAACCCCAAAGCAGTCCCTCTTCCTCCAGTGGTCCTCAGCCTCCTTTTCTCAGCACCCTGTGAGGACCCTTGGCCCCCTCCCACCAGCCATGCCTACCGCATCACCAAGGTCTCTAGTGAGCTCCTGGTGCTCTGTAGCAAGTGGATCCAGAAGGTCCTTGCTGAAGTGCCTGTTCATGATGAGGAAGGAGACCGGGTAAACCTGCAGGTGAAGCCTGGCTCCTGAAGAGGCAAGACACAAGTGCTGGGTGAGCAGAGCTGGCAGCAAGCCCTACCGCACACAGGGACTGTCCTTACCCTCCACCGAGAGGGAGGTCAGGTCCACAGAGCAGGTTGCGAGCGCTGTCAAGGCTTGCAGAACCTCTGCAACATCAGCATGGACGATCGTGTCAAGGTAGACATCTCCAGTGATCTCCAGGTCCCCACTGAGGTTTCTAAGGGGAGAGAAGGGCTCTAAGCAAGGCAGGAGAGCTGGGACCAGGCTCACCAAGCACATCCTTGCTGGTCTTTTTTTCCAGCAGCTCACGTCTACTCAAGCCCAGGGAAGGTGCTCAGTTACAGTATTTGCCACCAGCTGCACATCACCCTCCCCGGTTGCCTCGTGCAGCACAACTCATCCCCTCCATCTTTGCAGCACGGCTAATTAGCTGCAGAGTGCACAAGAGGCAGTGAAGGTAATTTAACAGAGAGCTTTGGAGAGGGGTGGTTGCGTCCCATACCTGAGCTGGGTAATAGTGAAGTTCCTCACACGGTAGAGGGCACTGAGAGACCCAGTCACCTAGATGAAGAGGAGACAAGAGCTCTCACCCTGCGCCCGCTTTAGTGCGCGTTATCCCACCGTGCAGGCAGCGCAGCAGCCAGCCTGCACCCATTTTCCCAGCATCATCCTTTGGAAGAGCCGCCAAGGCTTGCCATACCTCGCTGATCAGCCTCTCCAGGTGGTCTGTCTTGCTCCTCCCAAGCTGGAAGACAGTGAGAGAGACGGACAGCTTCTCTGGGTCCAGGTTCTCCAGGCTGAAGCCTAAAAGAATTCAAGAAGACAGTTATGCCCATACCTGTTCCTTCACCTTCCTTGGGAGATACCAGTCAGCCTTGAGCTCATCCTCCGCCACACGCTGAAAGCAGAAGCCAGCAGGGCAGCTGAGTGAAGATGAATACCTTTGTGGTGGGAAGGGCGTGGGATGTACCACCTCCCAGGGCAGGAGAAGCGGGTCCAGGAGGGGAAGCCAGAGAGTTTAGCAGAAGCACTGGACCACACAGGTCCAACTCCTGAGGACGTGGTCTCCGGCATCCTTAACGCTAAAGGGTTTTGCGTGGGTCAGGAGAAGGGATGTTAAGTGAAGGTGAAGCCTGAAGTCCAAACTGGGCAGGTTTTGGCTTTGATAGAGGTATAGGGAGGACACCTGACAGCAGCAGCTCTGCTGTGGGAGGATCTCCACAGCTTACCACTGGACTGGACAGATCGTGGCTCCAGTTGCCAGCCGAAGATGCTCCTTCCCCTGCTCGCCTCTGTGACGATCGTCCGGATGAGGTGGGAGTTGGTGGGAACAGGAGCATCCCCCCGGAACAGAGCCTCCCCTTGCACAACCACCGAGCCGTTCCTGGGAGGGAGATGAGATGATGGGCGGCCCACCTCCCCTTCGGGAGCAGCTTTAGAGCCCCATCATCCTCACAGTAACACCCCACCCAAAGAGAGGTCTCAGGTGGCTTTATCTGAAGCTTCAGACACTTTCAACCAGGGATCCCTTGGGACGATGACCCTGTGGAGGGAGCATGGCCCCTCACAAGACCTGGCTGGGGCATTTTGCTGGGCAAACCCTTCCCTCCAAGCCAAACCCACCCCTCTCCATCTGTTGCCTCAGGGCAGAGCTGCATACTCACATAAACTCGAGGACATTTGCCTGCAGGAAGGTCTCATAGGTGGACAGCATTCGGGTTAGCTGGAAGAAAGAAGCACCTCCTAACCGAGAAGCTTTTGCAAGCTCCCCCATGCGAAGGGGACGTGTACCAGGAGGTGTGCAGTAAATACAGAGGGAAGTCAGCTCAGTTTGCTCAGGGTAGGGCATGCCGGTACCCCAGGGTATGCCAGGCCTCCGGGGATGGTCACGGCTGAGTTGGCATATACCCAGGGCTCCCATCAGCCTAGAAACAGCACCCAGGAGGGAAACACCCCAGCACCAACACGGTATGCAGTGGCCCTGTTAGCTGCTAGGGGTGAGGGGCGGCCAGTCCCACCTCAAGCCAAGCGTGCCCAGTCCAGCTCCGGTGGAGCAGTGCCAGGGATTTACTTGTCTCCACCGCGCCTAGGTGGGCGATAGACCAAGCCAGGGCTGATGCAGGCGCCTCACCCCAGCAGGGCTTGCTGCAATTTCTGCTGCAGCTTCTCAGCTGCACCCCCTGCACCCAGAAGTACCGATACCTCCACCAAACAGCTCCTGCACTCACCATCAGTCTCACTTCTTCCTCCAGCTCCCTGTAGCTCCCTGAAGCCCTGCTGCTCAGAGCCTCCGTGTAAGCAATGCCCAACAGGCGGAACTGCAAGGGCAGCACACGGGCGGGCAGCGGCTGCGCAGGAGAAGGGAGCCCAGGGGAGTGGGATGCAGGGGGCTTCACCCCTGGCAAGCCAGGTTTGCCTATCGTCATCAGCTTAGCTGGGGTGAAGGCCTCTCCTGCAGCTGCAGGGAGACGCTCAGCGGCTGCGGAGGGGTGCTGGGAGGTGACAGGGTGACCTGACATGGACTGAGCATCAAGGGTCACTCCTGCTGGTGCCGCCAGGGTCTGAGAGCTGAGCGGGGAGCTGGCTGCAAGCACAGCTCCAGTGGAAGTCAGCAGGTAGGATGGAGATGGCAAGCTTGTGGTGACGGTGTGGTGCACAGCCTCAGAGCAGTGCTCCGGAGCAGGGTTCTTGGAGCTGGGAGGAGGCACAGAGCCTGGGCTGGCATGGGTGGGCCCTGGAGGTCCTGCTGGAGCAGCAGTGGGTCCTACCGATGCTGGCCTGGGCTCACCGTGCCCAGCTTCTTCCACAGCCACCTGTCCAGGCAGCACACTCATCTCCGCCACCTTCATGGCCTGGTGTTGCCCTACAGCGGGTCCATCCTCAGATGCTGTTGTGAGGAAGGAATCTGGATGTAGAGATGGCCTCTGGGTAGGTGACCCCAGGGGGGAGCCACGTGTCACACCTGCAGCTCTCGGAGAGGGGGAAGCCACCGTAGCAGCTCCATCCTTGCAGGGGGCTTTGGTTGTTCCAGGGTCTGGGATGGCATCAGGGGCTGCCGAGCTCACCCGGGCCACGGTGGGGCCTGCAGCGCTGGGGGCCCTGGTCCGAGCAGGGGAAGGGTGGGCTTCAGCAGATGTCAGCAGAGTCTGCTGTGCAGGGGGGGAAGACAGATCACTTCGTTTCCCCGAGGCGACAGCAGGTCCCCCAGACTCCGCCGTAGGAAGGAAGGGAGCCAGCACGTGTGGGTGGTTGACATCACGAGCCAACGCAGCGCTGGGAAGTGATGCCAAGACGGTGGCCAGAAGTCCAGGAGCCAACGCAGCGCTGGGAAGTGATGCCAAGACGGTGGCCAGAAGTCCAGATCCATTTCCTGGCACCTTGGCCGAGACGGCGTCCACCAGTAGAGCAGCTTCTCCATGCAGGAAGGTGCCAGTAGGCTGTGTGTCCCAGAGCATCTCAGGCGTCACGGCAGAGGGGACCCACACAGTGCCAGGATGCATTTTGGTTGAGCTGGATGTCCTTTCTGTTGGCAGAGCCGAGGGCACCCCTGGAAGGGGCACCAGGTGAGGAGCAGCGGTGTGGTACTGAAGCTCCATGTTGGACATGAGAGAAGCCACTGGCTGTAGATTGATCAGACGCAGGCACGCTGCTGGGAGCCTGTGCTGCTGTCACAGCTCTGGCCCGAGAAGGCAAGTCGCTGGCTGTGACCACAGCAGGAGGCTTAGAGCTCGCAGCCAAGCTGAGATCTGCTCTGTGGGTCATGGCCCGATGGTCAGGGGACGCCCCAAGGGCCAGGATCTGGTCACCTCTGGGCTGGTCCGCTGTGCTGTGGCTCTGTGAGGGAGTACCCATCAACGTCCATGCTGACCCTGCGTGTGCTGGGGCATCAGATGGGACCCGCGCCCCCCCA